GATTATTTACTTCTGATAATAATAATTATACTAATAAATAATAATTCAATAATATTTTAATATAATAACATGTTACATAATAATATATGATAGATATAGATTTCGGGAGTAGCCCATGATGTATGAACTCGTGAATATACGACATAATGTATAGATCACAGGGAAGCACAGCGGATCTGTGCCCCACAGAGCCGGGCCGGGCCGGGCATCCGCTACGTACACTCGTCAACAGGCCTGTGAGGTCGACGCGCGCACGAAATGCTTTTCGTCCCCTCTCGCTGCCGCGCCGCGCTGCAACTCACTTGTCGAACATGTCCTTGTGTACGGTCTCAAGCAAGTCCTTGACCGACTGCACGACGTCTCCCTCGGCGATCGTCGCCTTCGTCCCGCGGTCTCGCCTCACCGCCACCAGCTGGCTCTGCTTCACGTCGCGCGGACCAACCTCGAGGCGCAGTGGCACCCCCTGGTGGCAACAATCAAAGGTAAATCAATCGTGACGCGGGCGTGGGATGGCGCGGGTCTCACGCGTGCCGCGAGGAAACCCTGTGGGAAAGTCCCGCGGGTCGTAAACCGTGTGCTCTTCCGTGGTTCGAAGTGCAAACAGGAGAATCCCTTGGGCACGGTAAACCTCGTGGGTCGGAAACGTATAAATTTTTACGTGGTTAGCAGAGCATTTTGTCGGTCGTCAAAGATGGAAAGAATCTCGTTGATACGGGAAAAAGCCGACTTTACGTGGATGGTAACACAACCAGAGAATTACTCTACGGAAACCTCTCGAGTGGGAAAGAAACTGCCAACGTTCTCAAACGGAAAATTTCGCGCGAGCAAACAAAACTCCGCATGCACGGTGGAAAACCGATTTCACGCTGTTGGTACTACAAACGTAGAATTCTACGCGCGCGATCGGAAACTCGTGGGCAGTGAAAAACGAACGCGACACCCTCCCCTCTCCCCCGCCCAACCTCCACGTCCCTCCCCGCCCGAACTCCACGTCCCTCCCCGCCCAACCTCCACGTCCCTCCCCGCCCAACCTCCACGTCCCTCCCCACCCAAAACCCTCCACGTCCCTCCTCGCCCAAACTCCCTGTCCCGTCTCCGCCCGTACACCTTCGGGCTTCCCCACCTTCAGCTCCCAGTGGTTGAACTTCCATCCAGGTGAGTAGTTGTCGCGCAGGTCGCCGCGGACGCGCACCGCCTGGCATGCGCTGCAGCCGCCGCACGTACTCCTCACACTTGTCGAGCAGACCGGGGCCTTCTCAGCCTCCGGCAGCGTGACCGTGATGCCGCAGGGAATCACGACGACCTGAGAGAGAGTGACAGACAGGTGACCCGGGTCGTGTCTCACTTGTGTCTCTGGTGGTTCTCTCGGTTCACGCAGTGAAGAAACAGGAGAGAGAGAGAGAGTTGAGACGAGAGTTGTCAGAGGCAGAGACCAGAGTGCGAGAGGCGCGACGAGAGAGATGGAGAGCCGAGGAGGGTCACATCGAGACGAGATTCCGAGGGAAAGTTACCAGAGATGAGAGCAGATGCTGATGCAGAGCAGAGAGTGAGTTATGTAAGAAGAGAGAGACGCATGAGTTATGAAGAGAGAGAGGGAGGGAGGGAGGAGGGAGGCGGAGGGAGGGATGGGAGGAGGGAGGGCAGCGGATCGGGGGGAGATGAGAGAACGACGACAGAGGAGACGAGCAGAGAGAAGCAGAGAAGAGAGAGAGGCAGAGGAGATCGAGGAGAGACGAGAGAGGGAAGGAGAGAGACGGGAGAGAAAGGCAGAGCGACGAGAGAGAGAAATCTAGACAGAAAGAGAGCGAGAGAGAGGACGAGAGAGAAGAGAGAGATGAGAGAGAGAGACCTAGACCGAAGAGAGACGGCCGTCCGCGCGCCTGCTAGACGACCCTTCCATTCCGCCTCTCGGCCCCCTCTCATTCCTCACCTATCGGAGAGAGAGAAGGGAGAGGAGGAGGAGAGGGAGAGAGGGACGAGAGGCGAGAGAGAGAGAGAGAAAGAGAGAGCGAGCGAGCGAGCGAGCGTGCGAGTGAGTGATGAAGAGAAAGAGAGTAAATCATGAAAAGAGAGAAAGAGAGTGATGGAGAGAGGGGAGAGAGTGATGGAGAGTGATGGAGAGAGGGGAGAGAGTGAGGGAGAGTGATGGAGAGAGGGGAGAAGAGTGAGGGCGAAGGGGAGAAAGAGAAGGAGAGTGATGGAGAGAGGGGAGAAGAGTGAGGGCGAGGGGGAGAGAAAGAGAGAGAAACATAGAGAGCAAGAGAGGGAGAGAGTGAGACACAGAGAGTGAGAGAGAGAGGGGTGAGACAATCGCTGGGAAACAATTCACACCTTACGTAATACATCTCGTTCGCTCCCCGACACCCCCCAATCACCGGGACACGCGACGATGTCCAATTCCGTCCGCCGTGCACGCGCGTACCTGTATGCAGGCGACCCTAGGTGGCAGCACGAGTCCTTGATTGTCTCCGTGCACCATGCACATGACGCCGATGGTACGCGTCGTGATGCCCCACGAGTTCTGGTAAACGTAGGCCTTCTCCTGCGTGTCCGGATGCTCATAGACAATCTCAAACATCTTCGAGAAGTTCTGACCCAGGTGGTGAGATGTCGCACCCTGTAATTCACCGCATATAATAATAATGTAATGTCATTTTATTATATTATATTAATTAATATTATCAATTAATTTAACACGATTCAATTCGGATTAATGTGGATTTTGCCGCATGCAAGCAATATATTCCTTTTACTTCGATTTGACATGCGGCACTCGCCCTTATGTCATTAGATTGCATCGGTTCTGTTAGTTCTCACTGTTTAGCTTTCACTCAAGCAAATCAGTTCACTGCAAGTTTACATTAACCTAATTTCCGATTCCACCACAAGCGTTCACTCCAGTTACGAACTCGTATGTAAGAGTCAATCGAGGGCAATGCCAAAGATAGCCTTTACAGACAAGTAACCATTATACGGCTGGTTTCAGCGCAAAAATGCCTTTCAACGGAAACGCCCTAAGTGTCCCTCACATACGGGCGCATCCATTCTATAGAGGTAACCGCCAAATAAGTTAGACAGACTCTTTAATCATGTTAATGTACATTCAAAGAGGATTTCTTCAAATCCCTCGAATGCCTTTCGAACTCGTGCTTAAAACAAAGCGAAAGAAGGACGTGCCGACACATAACATGCACCGAGTCACCTCCACTGCATCTGGATCTTCAGGTTTTCGCCATGGGTTCGTACCTGGATCGCGCGTCCGTTGGCCGAGACGTAGGCCTCGACTGTCGTCGTGAAGTCGGCGCCGGCAAACTTCTCCTTCTCGGTCTTGCGACCGCGGATGACGGGAATCGCGAGTAGCTCCTCGTAGATGTACGCGTAGCGATCGAGAATCGTGTGCACCTGCGGGTACGTCACAAACACTGACCGACTGACCAAATGACAGATTGAATGACCGACTGACTGATTACTGGCCGACTGGCTTGCTCATTGACCCTCGCTGGCTAACTCACTCTCTCTCTCACACACTCTCACTCACTACACTCTACTTGTTTAATTGATCACTCACTCACACCCATATGCCCCTTCATGTGGAAAGCTTGCACATTTTATTTTGAGGCACTGCACACCAAACAGTAAAAGTTCCTTTAAAGTCCTAGTAAACAACTGACATCTGATGATAAATAAGATGCTCTGCAGTCGAAACCCATTTTGCCGCAGGACGGTACACACAGTCATCAATACATATACAACAGATCGTTTGCAGACCAGTTAATCAATAACGATAACTAATAATCGATCATCGATAAAAAACGGGAAAATTTCCTGCCGCGCTCACCTCATCGGTGGCCTCCTTCAGCGTGGCATGGGCAGTGTGTCCCTCCTGCCAGAGAAACTCTCTCGTTCTCAGGAACGGCTGAGGGTGCTTGAACTCCCACCTCTGCACAGAACACAAATAAACGGTGATGACAATTAACTGGGCGTCACGTATCTTCTTCTCATTCCATATGTAGCTAGTTGCCCGAATTTTTCCCGTTACAGCCAAGTCTGATTAACTCGGATTCCCTTCGCGCGATTTCACCGACACATTTTGTTCATCGAGGAACGGTTTTCTCTATTACACAGAAAAATTTCAGTTTCACAAGACCCACGTTCACATGCAACAGGTACTAGAAGCAGAGCAAGCAAAAATCACGTAAGTTTCAGCTAACACCACGATTACCAGGGATTCATCAAGAACTGTACATTATATACAATTAATAAACACAGTGTGCTTCACGAGTCATCTACTGTATATCAGATGTACATATCTGTATATAATCATTAATATTTTTAGAATGTTGATATACCTGGAACCATTGTCAGAAACATAATTAGTCTTAACATTACTCTGAACATGAACTTTTCTCATAGACTGGATCTCTACACAACTGCGTATGAGAAACTCGTAACTTTTCCGTGTTTCTGTCAACGGTCTACGAGAAAGTCGTACGATTAATGTCAAGACTAATTTTGTTTCTGACAATGGCACAAAGTCTATCAATATCCTAAAAATATTAATGATTGATTATATACAGATATATACATCTGATATTTTGTTGACTAATTTTGTTCACGGCAACGATACCCTACAAGGAAAATATGTTAGATCTTTCATTGAAACCGTGACCCGACACACAGCAAGCAACAGACTGCCCTCCAGCACAGATTGCAAACGACACCGGACAGACGCTGGCCCTGCGGGCGCTCCGCTTGTTTATGGATATTGATAGACCATTTGCACAACATCTGTCGGCA